CTCCCATTACAAGCCCCCTTTGCCCCATGTTCTTCCTTCACCCGTCTCGCTTTTGTGGTTGTGTTTTTTTGTCTTGGTTCTAAACAACTTAAAGAGCAGTAGACATTGTGCAATTTACAAATCTCTTTCTAAAAGGATGTGTGCCTGCTTCTGGTTATGGTATGGGCAGAGGAAATGTGTCCAGTACATTTGACTCATCCTTTAATGTCACTGAGGAAACTTTGTCAAACTCAAGTTGGCCCTTAATAACCACATTATTTTTTTCTGCATTAGGCATTATTACAATCAAAATCTAAACTTATATGAAACAGAAAGTTAGTGTTTTATCTAGCAGCGTGCAACTGACTGCATTTTATGTAAATACTGATCCAATTGCCAAAGATAAGCTTTTTAATAGACACATTAAATAGACAGTTTGTGGTGTCAGCCAGTCTTTGAGTAAAATGATGCTGAAAAAGCTTCTCTTGAGAGATTTATATTGACTTTTTTTTTTTTTTAACAAAAAGATCAAATGAAATAAGAAATCATAACCTTGTATTAATAGTTTTTTTTTGGAATATCTCTGAGCTCTTTGTGCAACAACACAGCAGTAGATAGTCTGTGTAATTACAAATTCATATTCAGAAAAAACAAAAGTACTACACTTTCTTTGCAGTTACTATCCAAGTCATCGCTATAGTCTACACTCTGCTATTTAGGGGCATTGACCAAAGTGACTAAGTTGGCCTACTTTTCCCAAGTCTCAAACCTCGTGCATTATAGACGGCAGCACTGGTGAACTGACCTGACTGTCTCCACTTATTGAGGGCAGCATGACAAGACTGTGACAGGTCTGTGAAAACTTCAAATAGACTATCAAGCAAAATGATTTTTAATGGTAGTTATGTGAGCACCTGGTGGGTATCGCTGTACATTTGTGCAGGTAAGTGAGAGCCTATCCCACTTTCTCTCATGCTTGTACCTTGGTATATTTTGGTGGCTGTGTTGAACCATGCGTTAAGAACATTCCCATGATAAATTATGAATGTGAATGTGCGTTGTGCAAAAGTCAATAATAAATGCACCAGGCTGCTGCAGGGGCAACGGGTCTGACGCTCGCTTTAGAACACGTGTCTAAAACTGAAATGATGAACAAAAGGAGATCATTGGACTCTAGACATTTACACAAACATAAGCACAATTACAAAAAGCTACGATGGTATATTCATGGCAACATACCGCAAAATGTACCATAATATATTATTTAAATTATGTTTAAAGGGCCTATATAAAGCTGTTTTCTGATCTGCTATAATGTTATTTCCTCATCAAAAACATACCTGGAGTTGTGTTTTGTTTCATTCACACATGTTAATACATACACTGCATATTTAGGCTGAGTTCTTCTCTCAAACAGAAAACGGTACACTCATGTGGTAATGCAGAAAGTGCTCGATTGTGTTTTTAAAACTCCAAACACTTTCAATAGAATCATTTATATATAATTTCATGGAATCAGCCATGGCATTGTCCATCTCTACTTAACAAAGGTAAAAGGCTTAAGTTAACTTGAAAAATACTGCTTGTTGGTGGAACAGAGCATTTTGTGTTTTTGAGATGTAGACAGACTAATAATAAAGGATAACTCAAACATGTGTAAACAAAACACAACTCTATATTTTTGAGGAGTAAAAAGATTATAACATCACTTAAAGCTCACAAGAGCCAAATTTAAATAATACAAGGCCATAAATGTTTTATATTTGCCTGGTACACCCTCTAACTTCCTCCATGTTTTCTATATGGAGGAAGTCTGGAAGAAACTTGGCTTGAGTTTAGATTTCTGGAATCCTATTGCCTATACCTGACACATAATTTGTACATTATTCCTTTTTTGCTGAGTTAAATTCACTTCTTCTCACTTCTTCAGCACTCTGTTTTTTGCTGATCTTTCATGGGGGCTGCAGGATTGAGCTAACTATAGTGACTCTATGTCAGGTCTGTTGAGACACACAGTTCTCATAAGGCAGCCTCACAACTAAAAAACAGCACAAACCCCCGCACACGCACACCCACACCTACACCTACACGCACACCCACATGCACACCCACACCCCCACACCCCCACACCCACACCCCACACACACCCCACACCCCCACACACCCCCACCCCCACCCACACCCACACACACACACACACACACACACCCACACACCCCACACACACCCCCACACCCCACACCCCCACACCCCCCACACACACCCCACACACACCCCACACCACCACACACACACCCACACACACACACACACACACACACACACACGGACTCCCACCCAGCAATGCTTAATTATCCAGCTCTGACTGCGGGTATGTTCATCTCACATTGTTAATTAGAACTGTGAACACTTCATTAATTAAGAGCGAGCCAGTCCTCAAGGACCTGGGGAATTCCTGCACAGCCTCTGTGTTCGTCTTTCTGTGCATGCGTGCATATGTGTGCGTGTGTGTGTGTCCGCACCAGTTTAAAGCGTTGCATTGGGATCCTGCTGGTGTCAATGGGACTCCTCTTAGCTTCGTCACCAAACCGCACCTCTGGCAAAGCTATAGCGCACATCACATGGGCCCATCTGCACATAATGGGAGATACATTAATACACTGAGATGAGGTTGAGTCAATATGCCAGAACAATTACAAAGCAAAGGCTGTTCTTACTTGTCATTTTGGGTTTTCTTTAGAGCCCCCCCTCTGAGATTACAAAGGCAGCATTCCTGAAAAAAGGGGCAAAGTAAATAAACTATTTTACATGACTGTGCCCCAGTCAACTTGGAGGTTAGAAAGTTTAAAGCAGTGAAAATATTATTTCAGTCATCTGAAAAGTAAAATATGCTGCTTACTGCTGTGACGCATTCTTCAGTACATCGATCACATGACCAACGTTCACTGATGACATCTGTAGTAACGCCATAGCAGCCTTACAAGAACATAAAACAGCATTTCAGTTTCCATTGCAGAATCACAAAATAATACAAAATAAATAGACTATTGCTAATCCAATAATCATAAAAAAGAAGTCTGTTAATTAATCTGTTGTTGTTTTGAGAGCCTTTGCGTCACTGCATCAAAGAGCTGTGTGTATGTGTGTTTATTTGTGTTTGTGTGCGTTTGTGTGGCAGCACCAGGCTCTGCTGTGACGTCTCTGCTGTGACACTTACAGCCCACCCTTTGGAACTATCATGGCACAGCTGACAGTCTGCTCTCAGCATAAAGTCAGCCAAGCAGCTTTGTTTTGCTAAGTTGGTTTGTATCAATAATACAGCAGAGCAGCTTGACTGTTTCCAAAAACCACAAAAGCTGGTGGTCACAACAGGATAAAAAGCATACGATTTAGAAAGAAAGTCAAATGGGATTTTTTACAGAAAGTTTATAACTTGTGTGAGCATCCAAGTGTAAAAGGCTAAACACTCAACTTGGAGAAACTTTCGGGGAGACAACATTTTTATGTGATTAAACCAGTGTATTTTTCTTCAAATATCCATGACCACACTTTACCACACTTCTCTTTCCTTAACCCAGATTAAATAACAGAATATACAGAGTAGACACAATACTAAGTCTTTGCTTGGCCTCGAAATCAGACTTGTGGCTTTTTCACCGGAGTAAAATGACACTTCTCACCCCAAGACTTCCACCTCCAGTCTTGCTAAGCAGTAAGCATGTGAAAACAGTTAAGCGCATGCACGCACACACACAGAGTACATACTGAGACACCCCTCTGAGAACCAGACAAAAATGGGATCCATATCAGTAGCTTACGTTTCAGAGGGATAAAAAAATATATATTGCAATTTTAAAGTTTGAGATTACGTATTATGTATAAAATTATATTAATACTTAACAATAATTGACTTTTTCTATGGAAGTCAATAAGCTAAATGTGTAAATTTGACTATGCGCAAGTGAACAGAGCAGACAAGCTCAAGTTTTTATGAGTGTGTGGGCTTTTGGACAGGAAGTGTATGTGGTGAGGACAGAGGATTTGACCCCATTTGAATGATGATGGAAATAAAACACTCCAAACCACAGTTTAGGGAAAACATAGAAGAGGTAAGGCATGAGTCAGGATGTAAACCCTCTGACCCTCACAAAAATGTTCAAACATACCACGTTTAGAGGGAAAATAACATTGAGCGTTTCTCTCTGGTAAAGAAGAATATGATAATTTCTCCTATAAGGGAATGTATCTCTGCATACATACTTGCATGAACTTGTAGACAACAGCCTTGGCAATATAGTAAAAGGGAGGTGCCATCCTCTTGTAACAAAGGGTTCGTGGGAGTTGGAGGAGAGCTTTGCTCCCGAAAAGAAAAGCAGATCTCTGGAATTAAAGGTTTGCTCCGTGTAGGACCTCTAGTGACATGGGTCGGACTGGGAGGCGAGGACATGTTCTCAACTACTGGGGACCTCAACTCCTCTGCTTTGTCTTCAGCCTTAGGAAGTGGAAAAATGTATATTTTTACAAACAAACTGAATAAGAAATAGCATGAACATAAACACGAGTTGTTTATATTGCTTATAACAATCCTCTACCTGATAATAAGGCATAAAGAGCGTACAAACAGCACAGTACGGCTGCATGGTGGCAATAAGTGCATTGTACTCCTTTTCTGCAGAAAAACAACTCTTCTTATTCTGCCAGAGGTGGAAGAGGGGCTTTGCCCAGGCTTCCATTTCCCGTTCCTCTTCTTCTGCCAGACTTGCTTCAGGTGGTTCTAAATGAGGTGAAATATCATGTCTTTAGTCAGTATTGCATTGCTATGCATATTTATTACTCTAGCTTTTGCATAATGATACATATATGAGAGACTTTTAACTAAGGTCATTAGAATAACTTATCATTAAAGTGTGTATGTTATATTTTTGCTAGTAATAGTTTTAACATGTTTACAACATCTGGGAAGGGCAAAGCAACTATGCTACAAGAGAAACATAAAGTAGTTGTACATTTAGTGTGCTGCTCACCTTCATCACTGGCAGTCTGCTGTTTGACAGCTGTTGGTACGGCCCTGGCAGTGGGTTTCCTGAGTGGGTGACGCCAGCTCTTAGCCGTCCTCCTGATGGATAATGCAGCGTACTGAAATGAGACATAGAAGCAACTATTACGGAGCCTAGAAAAGGCATATGACTCAGACATAAAGATATGATATTTAATTGTGTTTAAAACTACACAAACCTTCCCACGTCCCAGAGCAGAATCACCACCCTCACTGCTCCTAGGATCACTGTCATCCTCTTCATCAAATGAATCACTACTGCTCTTGGCATTGTACTGCTGCTGTTCCTCCTCTTCATCTGACTCCACATCATCTAAATCAGACACACCATCTTGCTCTGGTTCTCTCTTTCTTTCTCTTTTCAACTCTGGATAATGTGAAAGGGCTTCCATTTCATCAGACTCTCCCCTCAGAAGTTCATAATCTTCACTGGGGTCAAGAGGCTCCACAGCGTTGAGCAGAGAGGTGGGCTGCAGCTGTGCCCAGGTGAGAGCCCCACTCTCCCCCTCCTGGCTGTTTGACCCACACTGTTCATCAGAGTCTGACACCTGTTTGCACTGAGGCTCAGTCCACATGGTGTAAGGGAGAGACTCATGAGTGAAGTCTGATGAGAGCTCAGGACTGATCACCGTCGAACTTTGAGAACCAAAGTTTGACCAGAGACTGGTGCAGGGTTTTGGCACTGTGGAAGCACAATGGGGTGAACAGTGTGAAGAAGAGTTCATCACTGAGTGATCTTGTGAGCACAAGGGAGCAAAGTGGTCTGTACTATTATCACCATGTGTTATCTTACTAGAATCTGAATTGCTCAATGTTACTCCATCATCTACTTTTGAGAATGCAGAAAGCTTTAACTGGTCATTACATGAGATAGACTGTTGTTCCATTTGGAGATCTGACGTTTGGACAAGGGCTCCCCTTGTAGCTATACTGTGTCCAAGAAAAACACTGTCATTGGAAGTTTGTTTGTGCATTGTAATTGTGGTTAATTCGGTTATATTGTCCTTTAACAACACACCTTTACTACATTGAGAATCCTGATGACTTACAGGCACTGATTCTGATTGGTTCAGGTTTATTTGAGCTTGTTGGATGCTTTGTGAAGATGAGGAGCCAGATGGTGCTTCAGGCTGCAGCACAGGCGCACTTTGGTGAGTGTACAATCTACATTTCTGGTCATGAGTTGGCCCCTCATCAGCAGGGGTAAGAGAGGGCATCTCTTGGGTCAATACAGGTGGCAAAGGGCAGGTTCCAAGCTGATCTGCTGGCTCAGGCTTTAGATGTGGCATATCTACTGCATTCATCTGTAGCAGAGGAGGTAGAAGGTTCGTCTCAGTGTTGCTTTCTTTTAAAATGCTGCCATGAACTGAAGTGGATATCAAGTCACAAAGTGAATGACTGCCTCCATCTGCTGGCTCTCTTTTCTTATAAAGTGCTTCAGTGTTTGTGCTGATATGTTGTGGGTCTATGTCCATTTTGTGTGATTCTACATGGTTTCTACAATTCCCAGGGACTGTCTTTGGTGATTGGCTTAGACAACTCCAGGTCTGATCTGCTGAGGCACTCAGACATCTTTCAGTCTGAGACACATTTGAGTGGACAGCAGTGCTGCAGGAGTCGCCTTTTGGGGACGGAGTCCTGGTGGGACAGTCCTGAGATGTAGAGAGGTCTGGTAGTTGAGAGGAGCAAGACTCAGAACAGTGAGTGTTACCTACTGGAGTCCGTTTTACATGTCCTGAGGAGTGTTGTGAATCATTTCTAGTGTCTGTCTCATTTGTGTCATTCTTGGTCATGGTCACAGAAGCTTTAGGGAAAAGGTTAGAAATGCCCAGATCACTCTCCACTCGATTTACTTTGACCACACACATCTGTCTGCAAGCATCTGCAGAAAAAAAAAAACAATTTTAATTTTATTTGATTATGGATATTAGTATAAATAAAGTTGATCACAAACAATTAATGATGGCCTCACCAGAAAATTCTATTGAGTTTGGGATCAATTTGCGTTTTGACTCTGCTTGTCTATTTTGTTTTTTCTTGGTGTTCGATAGTCCTGCTTTTGGCCTCCACACTTTGGGCCCTAGTGGACCAACGGCACCCTTCTTCTTGCAGTTGGATACTTCTGAGCATTTGTCCAGCCCAACAGGTTCCTCTGTGGTTCTCAGACGCTTAGACCCCATGCGGGACTGGGTACTGTCATGACCAAAGAAGACAGTTGCGTACTTAAGTAACTTTAATAAAATTCTAATTTAGCCAATAAAACTAGACCCTTTGAATTTAAATCAATGCTGTATTGTAATTATATATCGTATGAAGGAAAGTCTGTAATAAAATAGCAGTAACTATAATAATAATTATTATACCCTTTATTGGTAGGTTTATTCTTGCGCCGTCTTTGAAGCCAACTCTGCAGTTCAGGTGTTGTACGAGGAGTGGCCATAGTGTGATCAAGTGGTACAGAATCTTTGCCTAGCATCCAGCTGGCATAACGATCAGGCTGAAAGCGCTTGACAAAAGGCTCCATGGAGATCTTAACCATGTCCTTGCTACATGTACACTATAAATGAGAATCATAGTAACTATAATAAACAAACATGTTGTATTCAGTGAAAACATATAAAAGAATTGTACCTGTGTCGCCACTTTTCCATAATCTATCCAACGGACTGTAGCAAAATTAGTGGATTCTGCACAGTTGAAGCCATGGTTGAAGCCAGCATGGTAACCATAAGGAAATGTGATCATAAACTCTCCAGCTTCTTGAGTTATCTGCACATGTAAAATTCAGACAAATGAAAATACATCAAGAGATTGTCTGGGTATAATAAAGTTAAAACTTACCTTATCAAAGGGAATACCATATTTCTTGAGTATGGAAGGAGAAATTAAAGTCATCTTGTGCCGAAGAAAAGCTTCACAGCCCTTGAAGCTATTGGGGAAAAAGCCTAACAAATAAGCAATAGAAAATGTTCTTAACTATTGAACCATCACGCCGTTACAATTCAGCACAATTTAACACAGATGATCAATTATACCTGTGGCCAAGCGCTCAAGCCTCTTTCCATGCTCAGGGGGTATGGCATACCTGTTTCGACAACAAAAATCTGATTAGTGTGAGTTAGACAAAAACTATATACAGCTTTCAGTCTTTGTTGATGTCAATTCATATGAGCAAAAAAGTCTACTGAAAATTTCACCCTAAAAATGTAAGATTTTCAGTGTTCATAGATAAAGGTTGTAGCTGATTCAATGCTGCCATCAAGTGGTAAATTGATATAACAAGAAGTACGGGTAGTGTCATGAAAAGTGAATGCTAATAAAAACATCAATGTTTTCCCCCCAATTAATTTCACTAATATTGTTTGTGTGATTGTGTCATTTGGTTCATTAAAAAAAAATTAATAAAAATCTGAATTCCCAGCTGTGAGTCTAGACATTCTATTTGAATAGCGAAATCCGCCCAGGGCTCTTTTTACATTTCTATCATTTCACCTGTCAGCTTAACAACAGATGGAGACAAGGTGAGAGGTAAGTAACCTCAGGTAGAAACAACAGCATATGGTGATCTGGGGGGTTTGAGTACTGAAAACACATGAGAATAGTGCATCTTTAAGATAATGCCCTCCTGGGAAAATGTCAAAATACCATGGAAATGACTGTATTGCACTGTTTTTGTGCACAAAGAACATGGGAAAGTGTCTGGTACTGTCTGGGCATGACACTGTTCCCTGTGAGGTTGAAGGGCTGTTCCCTGCTTTAATGAGCACAGCCACCTACCAAGAGGATGAGGAAAGCGTATGCGAGACAAACAGGTAAAGAAATGATAAAAACAGTCAGTCGGCATCAGCTTGGATTTTCACCCACATGGCTGTAAATGATCAAAATGTAATCAAGATCTAATCCTCAATGATGAGGGTCTTTTTAAATGAGAGGGCTACAAACAATCATCTGTCAGGAAAAGAATGTGGTTTGGAACAATGCTCAGACTTTACAAGACTTTGTTAACAGCCAGTCCCACAAAATACCTTCTCTTCACTCATATGAAAATTAAATTGCATTGTATGTCTATTTACCAGTGCCTACACAAAGAAAAAGAATAAATAAAACCAGAAATTTGATTAATATACCCTGTTGGACTGAATTTACTTTCCAATCAAAATTAAATAAATAGATAACTATTCTAATAGCAGCTGTTTAATATTAATATTAGTTATATGTAGCAGATATTTGTGTACTCCGTATTTACCAAGACTTGGGTTCTCCAAAGTGTAGGTAGTTGATACTGTACAGGTCCATGTCTTCAGTGTGCCATGAGAATGAAGTCTTCCACATCCCAAAATAAAGATATGGAGTGTTAACCCCCTGGATAGATACACCACAGTCCTCCTCTATGACATCCAAGATAGAGTTTAAGTGGGCAATGTTCCACTCCTCTACATCCTGGGAGAGAGCAAAGCAATAAGTCAAGATTTAGCTTTCCAGATAAATACACCATTATTATGTGCATTATAATGAGCACATAAGTGAACGCATGAATCAAAAGAATAGACAAAAGCCCCCACCTCATCGTAAAGGCTGCCACCAACATCAGCACCATAAATGGGTGAGACAAATGTGAGGTTCTTCCAGTACTTTCTCTCAAGATCTTCATAATTTAAGTAGCGTGGTGTGCAGTACCTGTACACATTATAGATTAGATATCTACTACCACCAGTAAACATGTATTTACTTCAGTCTTTAAAGAGAATTTTATGACAGTATTCTCAGTTGTTAATCCTATACTCACATGTCACTATTCGCTAATCTACGAAACTCTTGGACACTTAGCGGCTTCTTCTGGATATTATATTGAGTAAACAGCCCTGACTGGCCTGCTACCATCTGTTGGATGGGGGCATCAAGGTCATCTATGTCATCATATGTGCGCCGAGGTTTCCATCCTTTTGGTGGTATAACCTAAGAAATTATGGAATAATAATGAAGTTATAACATGACTAAGCAAACATCAAATTTGCTATTGTTTTTCTTTGCTAGGCTGACCTTTGCCAAACCTGCTCGATGGGCACCTTGGGACTCCATATACACCAGGTACTGGTTGAAGTCTTTGAATTCCTCCATGGTTGGCCTGAAGGTCATAATTTTGCAGGTCGGGTTTGCAGGGGTGCATACCTCTGCTCCCGCCATCCTGCTGCCTTCCTGTAAACATAAAACAAAACCAAATAACAATGTCAATGTACTAATACCAAGCAAATTAACATCTGGAATAATTTGAGTACAATAGTTACTATTTGAAATGTTTGATTATGTTTCGGGTGTGCAGTTCGTTGAACTGCATTATACAATTTCACCACTAGATGGAAGCAGAAACTCAAATTACTATTCCTTTTGAGAGACTGCAAATCTTTCCAATTCCCATCCGTCCCATGATAACGATCCCATTCCCAAGTTAGACTTTGCAGAGCAAACGAACAAAAGAACACGTCCTTGTGGCATTGGTTGTATTCTCAAGCCATGTTTTCATATTTAAACACATGCGTATATAAAATCATGTATTATAAAGTTGTAACAACATTTTAACTAAATATATCTGTATTTACGTTTTAAAAGTTTCCTTTTTAACAAGAGTCGGTTTGGATACAGAAAAATACATTTACAAAACAGATAAAAATGCTAAGTTTCCACAATTCAGGCAAAACGTGCAATTCAAACACAAAACACGTCTTGTTATTTTCCTTTTCAAGTCTTACTGTTAATTTGATTTCCAAATCGTTGCATTTTGTTAGATCTTTGTTGTTCGGCAAAGCTAACTAGCCCAACTAGCCTACGTTTTGTTATGATGCCAAGCAATGGCTGCACAAATAGCACTGGTCGCTAGCTTCAGGCGTGATCATGTTTATTTTATGTATTGAAATGTTTCGTCAAGAAGTATTGTTAGCTAGTTTAAAGCAATTAAAATGTGTGGTTTGCATTGTAGCTGCAGATGACTAGACTCACCAAGTGCCAATAAAACAAATACTCAATCAGTTGAAAATGTAGCTGCCTCCCACTGCTAACTTCAGCTGGTTGTTAAATGCCCCTCGCAAGGTGGCCGCTCCATACAGGCCCATGGCTGCTGTGCATTGGGCTTTGTGATTTACACATTGTTTCTACACTGCTGATGCAAAGGCTTAACTATAATTCACATTTAAGGCAATTCTATTCATAGATTATAAAAATTTATTTTGACTATGTGAAGTGCACTGTGGCGTGAGCATGTACCCAAAGAGGTTGGCAGGGCCAGTTAGCTTTTAAGATTTAGACTTCTCTAGACAACAAAGTAAGTAAGACACCAAGTAAAAGCCAAGACTCTCAGAACCAAATTAGTTTTAGCTCAGCAACTGTTGATTTACCTTATTATGGGAAATGCCCTGTTGTTGTTGATCCCTTCCTTGTTCGTACAGCTGATTCGCATGACAGTCCCTGTCTGTTGCTAGTAGAGCTGCAGCTAGTGCAGAGAACTAGCACCGCGTCCCCTGATCTCCAGCTGGTCTGGATCAGGCTGTGCGCGTCAGAGCAACGCTACGCCTCAGTTTTTCTTTCATCCATACACTGTTAGATCTGCAACTTCTCCAACGAATTATGAGATAAATGGAACAAAAGTATGATAACTACATTATTAGTGTAACTCTAAAAAATAATTTTAAATATATCCATTGTCACCTAATGACTAATGCATTTCTGACTATAATGTTGAACGTCATTTCAGTGACTCATGTGTTGTTTGCAGTGAGATCCTCCAGAGGTCGCTAAGGACTATTTGAGTAAACATGGCTGCCCAGGATGAACTCAGTAAGTTTCTCTATCGCTTTGAATATTCGTATTCTCACATTTTGTCTGATCAGATCTAACAGAACCTGTATTACGAACATACAGATCTTAAGACATGAAATTTTAAGTTATTACCCTCAAGCAGTAACTAGACACGACAACGCAACAAAGCCTGCTAGCATGCTGAACAGACGTCAGAAGGCCCTATGCACCGTCATGCTCTAAATATGACTGTGTTCGCAATGAATGTATTTTACTCACACGTTTCATTTTCACCATAATACTTACTATATTAAGTGATATGCACTCTGTTTTATTTTCACTATTATTGATGTCTAAACCTGCTAGAAACATTTCAGTGCCCATGCTCCCATCAGCTAACTGGATACTTTGCCATGCTAAAGGAGTTGCCCATATAGCCTTAAATGTACCAAGTTACCAACATGAAGAAGATTTTCCTGTCACTTTTGGCGTGTTTGCTGGTGTATACTTATACGTGTTTAAGACTTACATGTAGAGAGTACAGGTTTAATAAGTGAATCAATGGACCTTTAAGATATCATGTGTCTTATTTATTTTGTGTCCTTTTTTGACAGATCAACTGGAGCGCGTGTTTCTCCGCCTGGGACATGCAGAGACAGATGAGCAGCTTCAAGATATTATCTCCAAGTTCCTCCCTCCTGTTCTTCTTAAACTCTCCAGTGTCCAAGAGGGAGTTCGAAAGAAAGTAAGCAGATTGTTAAATTAATTCTATGTCTGCTTAGATTACAGTGGATTGTAGCATTATAATTAGACATTCTTCAAGCTGAACTGTTATGTGAAAATCTCTATTAGGTCATGGAGCTATTGGTGCACCTAAACAAGAGAATTAAAAGTCGGCGTAAAGTGCAACTACCTGTGGAAACTCTGCTTGTCCAGTATCAAGATCCTGCAGCTGCTTCCTTTGTCACTGTAATTACAAGCACTTAATATTTGCTTTATAGTTATGGTTATAATTGTATAGTTAATTCATAGTTGCTGTTGTACGTAATCTTTTTTGCAGAATTTTACCATTATTTATATAAAAATGGGATATCCTCGATTGGAAGTAGAAAAGCAGTGTGAGATGGCACCTACTCTGCTCACTGCCATGGAAGGAAAACCACAACCACAGCAGGACAGGTGAAAACCAACACACAGAGCTTTAAAAACTATGTCTTAATTATTTTGAGATGTGAACTTAACTTTATCTTACAGTCTTATGCACCTCCTGATCCCTACTCTTTACCACATGAAGTACCCTGCGGACACTACCAAGAGTGGCTCTCCTTTTAACTTAACAGAAAGGCCAAAGACTGTGCAGCTGCTGCTGGAGTTCATGTTGGACGTTTTACTAATGCCTTATGGGTAGGTTTCACATTTCATTTTTTCATTCACACATTTTCTCCTGGTCTTTGCACCAATGTTTTACTAACTACCAACAACTTTAGGTTTGTGTTGAATGAATCTCCAACTCGTCCATCTCCGTCTGCATCCCAAGGAGGGTCAGAAGATGGAGCAGTGGCCAGTACAGGCCAGGGGCTTCCACAACCTCCCCCAGGAATGAGTGTGTATGCAGCCAAGAGAGTCATTGGAGAATCCCAGTGGAGCGCTGAGCTAGAACAGGTGATATTGCAGAATGGTTTTGAATTCTTTATCTGGAACTTCAACCATTAAATTACTGTTCACTAAATAAAGAGGGAAGCCTAAATTTTAAATATTTTACACTGCATATCTGTGTTTTACAGTGTAAACTAGGTATAGTGAAATTTATTGAAGCAAAGCAAGTTCCAGAAGTGGAGACTGTTGTGCATTTGGTGATAGCATCTAGTGATACACGACACAGTGTTGCAACGGCTGCAGATTTGGAGCTGAAAAGTAAGCAAAGGTAAGAAGCGCTATAGTGTTAAAAGATGAATAGTTGTTTGGTAATGGTGGTTGATTGTATTACAATTTACCCTTTTTAGCTTAATTGATTGGAACAATCCTCTAATAATCAATAAGATGTACAAGGTGTATCTGGGAGATGTTCCACTTAAAACAAAGGTGTGTATCTCATACAAATACGAGTACAACTCGTACTCATACGAGTACAACTCAACACAGTAGAATGCCTAATACTGAATTACTACTAATACTGATTTTTTGTGTCAGGGTGGGGCTCTAAAACAAGAACTAAAACATGAACCTGTGAGCACCAGAGTGAAACTGAAGATATTGCCTCATTTTCTCCGATCACGGTTTGCTGCAGAGTGCTTTCCTGCTAATATTCAGGTATGCTTTTCCCAATTTACTGACACTTGATTCTTCAATAGCCAAACTGGAATTGTAATTTTGAAACACCAAAAGTATTCATAATGCTTTTTTTAAATGTATTTATTTAAAGGTAGTTTATGATGGTCTCTTTGGAGCTAACACCAACAACAAGCTGCTGTCTCTCACATTACAGTTTGTGCATCACATCTGCATGGTGTAAGAAACACTTTTCCAGCTGTTCTAATGCATGTTATACTTAAATATATTTAATATATATATATATATATATATATATATATATATATATATATATATATATATATATATATATATATATAAAACATATAAGAGTCCTCTGTTGTTATTGCAGGTGTCCTGACACAAATAAACCATTGGGACTAATGCTGCTTAATGGTCTGACCAAGCTCATTAATGAATACAAGGAGGTAACAAACGATTTTTGTTAATGTTTGTTACTGACAATTTTATATTAATACAAAGCCTTGGCATTTCTTTTTGCAGGATGCCAAATTATTATGTGTCGCATACTCAGCTGTTGGGAAGCTTTCGAGGTATTTATTTAATAGATTTCATTATAAGTTTTATAAAATATTTATTGAACCAAATAAATGTTTAAATTTTGCATGTTTTTAGCCGAATGCCACAGCTTTTCTCAAAGGACATTGCTCTTGTTCAGCAGTTTTTTGAGTCTATGTGTAAGGTGAGAAAAGTGCTTATTTAATTAGTACAATGCTCTGTTAAATTGATTCACTAATATTTTGGCTTCAGGAGGAACCAGATGTCCGCCTAGCCATTCAGGAGGCTTTATCCATGATGGTTGGTGCCTTTGCTAACTTGCAAGGAGCACAGTTAAAACTGATGGAAGCACTAGTTGCTGCTTACATTGTAAAGGTAGATTAAATATCTTTTTGCAAAGATGTGACATGTGAAATTGGTAAACTAACATACACCTAATCAAACTACTTGTTTACAGCCTGAAGTGCAAGTTCGCCAGGTAGCCATGAAGTTTGCAAGTACTGTGTTTGCACCGGATCACGTACCATCAAGATACCTTTTACTTCTGGCAGCTGGTGACCCGTAAATTTGAATTAACATTTTTTTAGCTTACTGACATTGAAAATAAAAACACTTTTAGCATTTTTAAAATTTAATTTAAAGTACTGCACAAAAAGTAATTATTGCCTTATAGGAGAGAAGAGGTATCTGGGGAGGCTCAGAGGGTTCTAAGGGCTATTCCTAGCAAGATCTCTGAAAAAGAAGGCCCAAAATCAATGCCTTCCTTTCCAGACATGGTTGCATATGTCCAGGAAAAGGTAAGAGCGCATTTTGCATATCATGCTGTTTCTGGTGCTTTACTTAAATTATTAAGATGTTGTTGTCATTGTAAATGAGAAGGTTCTCAATTGATGTACCTGGTAAAATATTCAATAAGTAAATGCATATAAATTATTACATGGATTATTTACCTCCATTAGGCTGCTCAGAGAATTAAAACACCAGCTAAGTACAGTGTTGGGACATCAACTATTCCCTTTAATCCATCAGCATTTGCAGAGGTAATTACACTGAAATCAAGTTCTTGCAGTCATGGTGATTATAGAGTTTAAATTTTCTCAATTTTCTCCAGATCATTTTGTACCTGAGGATGTGCCTGGCTCACAGTGCAGGTGTCACACCTGCTTCTGCTCGCTTGGCAGAAATGCAGGATGATGCTCCAGCCATTGGCTGCTATGTACAAACTCTACTGTCCTCTCAGGCTCAACCTATCAAGGAGACTGAGGCAAATCCAGTGCACATTTATATAGATTTGCTGCAGCAGTTGCTGAGTGCTGTGGGAGGTATGTCTCGTATAATAAACAAAATTCTCTTCTCTCTCTAACCCGATGTTCCATATATAAATATAACTAAACACTCTTTCTCTCCTTCTCTCTGCTTAACAGGTATTCCTGTTATGTATTGTCTACTGGAAGTAGTGTCTGTTTGCCCAGAGAAGTTGGCTTCTAGATTTGTTGATAAAATTGAGTGGATAAAAGTAAGTTTGATATAGTTGTCATATTAAGTACATTATCAACATTTTATTTTTGTTAATGTTAATTTTCCAGAGCTTGATGAACACTAACAAAGAGGACATGAGGGAGCTTGCAGCTCAGCTCTATGCTGTTGTGGTTTCCACCATGACTGGCAATGAATTACAGGCCGCTGTACATAACCTTGTCAAGATTACCAAAGATAACCATGTAAGTTGGTACCCACTAAAAGATCCAACATTTCATTTTTGCACCCACTAAAATTATTTTGCTCATGGACAGAGTCCTGAGACTCAGCATGGGGCAATTCTAGCTCTTGGTTTTATGGTTGGACGCTATATGAGCAAAAAGAAATCTGGGCAGCTGAGCATTACTCTCCAAGACAATGATGACCTTGTGTCACTGGCTACAAAGACAATTGGTATTTGTTTACTTTTCTCTGTTATTTTAAAATTACTTCACAATATTACTGGCCTTTCCTAAACAAGTATCGTTTGCTGACATTCCAGGTTCCTTTCTGGACAACAC